TTTTTTTTTTTGGTTGGTTTGTTGTTCCTGTTCCGTGCCCTTGGTAGGTCAGCATTTGTGGGAAGGGTATAAGGGCTTCTATTGTTGGGAAAAACTTGGACTGTGTTGGGGAAACTTATCAAGTACGGCCAAAAACATGTTTAGTCCCCAAAATAACTATCGTTAACCTTACACGCTGTCTCCACAACCCAGAAAATAAAAAAAAAACATGCTTTCTCCTTGAGGTTGAGAGTTCCTGTTTTGTTTCCAGGGAATCATCCTATAACAAAACATATAACCTTCACTTAACCAAACTTTCAAGTTGAATCTGTTCTAAAACAGCACATGTATTACCGTTTGTAGACATGATGTTTGGGGACTTTTGTTGTCATACATGTATATATCAATCAATCTAGTTTTATTTCATAACTTCATAATGAAAACATATAAAGTACGTAACTTAATAGATAAACAAAACATAAAAGTAAAAGACAAAGATAAGTAACACAGATAAATGAAAAGCAGAGAAGTTATAAGGAAGTTGTAAGAAGTCCAAGGACTTATGAAACTCTCCCTTTTAAACCCCCCACCCACCCCCCCCCCCCCACCCCGAGAGAAAATCCCAAGTGTTCCCTTTACGCCCAACTACCACACCCCAGCCTAAGATGTTCCATTAACTTAATAAAGACAAGAATGTATGTATAAAACAATGAACAATGTAAACACTGTGAGAGTGCCAAAGTAGTAATAAACAAAATAAACAAAATCAATTTCCTTGCAAGTAGTTTCTATACAATGTTTTGAAAACAGTTAAAGACTTCGCTTCAGAAATGAAAGATGGCAATCCGTTCCAGAGTTTGCAGCCTTGATAGCGAATGCTGTGTTGGAGAGCTGTGGTTTTACATTTAACTTGGGTTTTCACTGAGTCATCCAGTCCTTTACAACCATGACACTCTGTTGATATTTTTTTGGTAATGCATGGCTGACTTTTGCCATGACCTTTCAGCACTACAACAAAACTAAACAAATAAGTACACTTGGCAGATACATCACACTAAATTTAAATGACGGCACAATTTGCATGAAAAACATTGAAACAGTCACAGAGATTAAATACACTTTCCATCAAGAACTCTTTGAGTTCTTTGATTTTAATTTCAGATTTATCCTTTGTTTTCCTGTGAAGTGGAACTTGGAGGCAACTGGAAGCACTGAGTCTTTTATTTATTCCTTCCGACTTGTTAAACAACGTACGTGCACATGTGCCGGTACACGTCCATCGTAATCACATGATCAAGAAGTACATTTATGTAGCATTTCCTTCCTGTTGTCATTGTATTGTGCAAATCAAGGTTACATACGTGCATGATCATTATGGTGCCCCTCTGTCGTCATTGAACAAAACAGCTTTCATGAACACACGTGAACAAAAACACAGCACACACATATTTGGTACATCGACATCTTGTATGTAGAATTAGCAATAAGAGGTACAGATTTTCCCAAAGTATTTCTTAAATACACAAACAATATCATGAATGTACATGTACATGTGCTTGTACGTACATGTATCAATAGTCAGCATGTACATGTTGGAAAGCCGACAACGTAAGCTTTCATTTTGGTATGGAGCTAATATAGCCCATGTTCTGGAGTTATGACATTGCATATTACTTCCTTGGAGTTTGTACTCATCCGAGAGAACAGGCTTTGAAATACCTGGCTCGATTGTAGATGTGGGCACGACGCACTCAAAATTGTCATTTTTCCCCACTTTTTTCATTGAAATCAACTTTTCTGCGAATGAAGCCCAAAACGTTGGGTAACCAAGATGTCATTCATGACAGACAATGAAAATCACACTTTGACGAAATTTTCACCCTCTCAATGTTGAGCGGGCCATTACACGATAATGCACAGCACGACTTACATGTAATACCCTTTTTTTTGCAGAGCGGGTCACATTTTGTTCAAATATCGTGGAGAGGAAGAGACACGTTCACAAAAGTCAGATTTACAGCTGCATTTAGACGGCTCATCCAAAAAATATCATATACGTACATTTTCAGTTTGGCCACCAGAAGTTCAGTTCACAAAATGACCAAACAAATAAACCTAACAAAGTATAGTAAAAACAAAATGGATTTTCTACTTTTTCCTTTTGTTAGTGCATGTGAGTAAGCATATTTTATGCTTTGAAAAAGATATTGCCATGCATGCATGGCTTCCAATAATCATGTGATCTACATGTAGATCAGTTGTCGGTCAAATAACCAAAAATAGGGGTTTTTTGTAATCGGTCCTGTCTGAGCACTGGTTTCGAATTGAGATTTTTTTACCCCCATTACTTCTCCTTTTTGATGATGATTCTGTGGCACGTGATCTTGCCATTACACAGTTACATGTACGTGCATGGTTTTAGCATTTTTATCTAAATTAATTGAATCTGCAATCTAGATAGAAACTTGGAAGTGAAAGAGATTTGTTTCTAAATTGAATCATCCCTACAAGAAAAGGAATTATTCAATAATCAGTTCCTGTTTCACTGTATTATTTATTGTCCTCTGCATTGATAAAGTACACGTACACATTATAATGTACTCTTGCATGCTATGCATTAAAAAGTGTGCTTTGCTACATGAAGCTTTAGATTTTTATATATGTTATATTTTTCTTCTTCATATGTAGGACAAAACATACTTAATCTCTCATTGCACCCCATTTGTGTGGAAAGACCCGCTCGTCGTCACTTTGATCATCCTCAAAACTTATATTTTTCTCTTTCTCTCTCTCTCCCCCCAACCTGTTTTTACAATTGAGTCATATTGTTAGTACTACAGAACAAACACTGGGTCTTACATGTACTGGGTGAGTAAAAAAAAAAAGGAAACCCAAATGTTGGGACCATTGTTTTAGTGAAGTTCTGCATGTAGCACTTTCAAAATCTAGGATATGAAGCTTTCTTTTAGTACAAGAATCATTCACATCACTCATGTACATTTCAAGTTACGGAAATTTAAACACAACCTCCGTTTTAAGGTTCTGTCCACCGATCACAAAAAAGGTGTGCGTTCTTTCAGCAAAACGAAAACAATTCACACACATCCGTATGCGATTTGTTTTCATTTGCTGAAAGAACACTCAACTTTTTTTGTGATCCGTGGACAGAATCTTAAAACGGCGGTTGTGTTTAAAATTCCATAACTTGAAAAGTACATGAGTGATGTGAATGATTCTTGCATTTAAAGAAAGCTTATGAATTGGGCTTTCGTATCCTAGGTTTTGTTAGTGCTACATGCAGAACTTCACTAAAACAATAGTCCCGACATTTGGGTTTCGCTTTTTTTTATTCACCCTGTACAGAACAAACGCTGGGTCCTACATCTATGTGTCCATTTTGTACTCCAGTGATTGGTACATGTATAATCTTAGTCTTGTTTCGACATAGCCTATGTATATGTATATATGTAATTGTCAAAAACAATCCAAAACCTTGAATTTTAAAATTAAAACATTACAATATATATACCAAAAGCTGAAGAAAGTCAGCTTCATTTCCAAAATATTTTTATAATTTATGTAATTGTTTACAGAAATACATGTATCTCCCCCGCAAAACAAGTGATGCCTTTGTATCGGTAGTGATATGGTCCATGGGTTTCATACAACCTCTGTGCATTTCACCCCCTCATGCATATATAAACTCAATGCACCCATCACACAGACTTTTGTATAATTTCAGAAATACAATCATTCTGACATGTATACATGTAAACTGTACATTGGAGTTTGAAGTCACCAAACACAGCATGGTGTTTAAAAAACCTCAAATATTTTTTTCTCTCTAAATGAGGGTTGGTTTCTCAAGTTAATTAGTTCAAAGTGTATACATGTATAAGCCCTTTACTTGAACTAAACGCTTCCTCGTGTTTTCAAGTTTAAAAAACACACCCCTTTTGTGCACCAAGTCAAAGTGCACTGTACCGTGCCTCAAAACTGTCTTACATATAAACTTGAAATCTGTTAAAAATCACAATATGGTATATCAGTGCTAGAGACTGTGCAAACACTTGTGATTTCTGTGACCTAAAGGAAAGCTTAATTTGTACTTGTGAAACAGCTTTCAATTGTATTGAGTTGGCGAGAAAATTGACTAAAAGCTTTGTGTACATGGCGACCGATATATTGAAGTTGTGTTTTCTGTCCGGTCTCAGCATTGGCAAATTCAATGTAATTATGGAATAGTCTACTATTCTCTCTTAGATGTTCAAGGTCATATAATATTGTTAAACCCAAACTTAAACTGTACCTTTTGTAATGTTAAATATTTTATAGTTAATGCGTCTCTGCCCTTCGACTTTGTATGGCAATCCTAAAAGTATGATTATTTTCTGTAATAATTTGTCTGTTTTTGTGAAATGGCATGCCTAACACAAGTTATGCTTTTAAGGTTTTGCCACCTCTAGTATCCTTTATTTCTTCTTCAATACTTATCTTATTCTTCATTTCTGTCATGAAGAGGAAATAAATGTGTTTGTATACATGATACATGGCACAGATTTGAGACACAGTGATGTTAACATACGTGTGCGCTTTCCTGTGGAAGCCAGGTGGGAACGAGAGACCCCAAGCTCCTATAAGAAAGTGCACATGTAAACAAAATATGACGTCCTTATGTTCCAGGTCTGTCACCCATTTTGAGTAATTTCAAGTGACAAAAACACCAACGTCTATGTAGAGATGCTCTAAAGAAAGTGTGCAATGTTACATCAGCGTATGATCAATGCAGAAAATCTTATTCGACTGCATGCAAAACCGGAAGTGATAACAGTAAAAAGTGAAGGGGTTTTCCCTGATTCATTCATCAGCATGTGAGTCTTCTGCATGCAGACTCAAAGCCTAAGTATAATCTCAATTTTTGTTCCCTGCGCCCTAAAGATAAGTGGGAAAAATACATTTTTTCTTGCTGCAGAAATATGTATAATAATGTGGAACCTTTTTCTGTCCTTTGTTTCCTACAGCAATGCTGAATACGCCTCTGCAGAGAATAACAAAGCTGACAATGGTCCTGAGCGTAAGTATACAACAAATTGAGACAATCGGCCAATAGCGACTATGATGAATATTCATACCTGTACGGTACGAATACATTTATAAGATCATTACATAAATGGTGATGTTATGAGTGGTGTAGCCAGGGTTCTCATCCTAAGGGAGCAAGTGGGGGGCTGGATGTTACAATGGGGGGGGCCAAGTTCATCCATGCTGAAAGGTATACAGGTTTTTTTCACCGCACACCCGGCCTACGTAAATTCCAAAAGTGCCGTGGGGGGGGGGGGGGGGGGGGGGGAGGGGGAGGGGGGAGAACACCATCTTCCCATGGGGGTGCCGTTCAAAACCGACATCGGTTTTTGTGACAAAATTTTAAACCTGCTAATCATGGTTACTTATAGGACGGGTGCTTTTCTCAGGATGACAAATTTCTGGTGGGAATTAATGTACATCTTGGGAATGATTTGGATCATCGCAACTTTATTACGCCCGGCTGAAACAGATGTCAGTGTACTTTGGTTTTGTCATTTTATACTGACCCCAACTGTAACTTTGTCACAGTGACACACTCCGGACGGACAAGGTCACAGTGACAATCCAAAATGTTGTGTCATGGCACGGTTGAATGACGTACAATGTATGAAGTTGTGACAACCTTGACAATGGAGCAGTAAATTGTTTCTTTAGTGAGCAATTTAGGCTAACAATACATGATTCATTTTTACAGATCTTATTTTTCACACAACTGGCCACGTAAACATTCTGATTTCAATTTTGGGTCCATATTTGACGGTCAAATAATGTATTATAATCCCATTCTATATATAGTTTACAGACCATTACGAGCAAATTATTCGATTGTTGGCAAGTGATGTTTTGTTGAAAACTTTTAGCAAACATTTGCCTACTTTCAGACAGAAAAGTTTTAAGATGTGTGTTAATACATAACCTAATTCGGACACACCACGCTAGCGTAATGGTTCACGCACTTATGGCGTGAAGTACGCACGTACTAATTTCATTCTGCATGTGGACAAAGCCATGGTGTCTTCCTGTGAACGTCAGACGGCGTCGGCAATGTGTTCCAATGTCTCTCCCAGTGGTCTCCCCCAACTCTCCCTTTCTTACCGTTGAGGGGGTACTTGTTCACGGAGCCCATGGTACAAATTAAACCTGTGGAAAAGTCCTTGAATCAAATTCCCTTGGAAATGGAATCAGACTACATATCTAGTCATATTCCCTAACGTGGCGCACTTCGAAGCTTACCCAACTTTCCTCGTGTAGTGTTGCCAAACCTCTTTGTTGACAAACCTCAAATTCATGCAGTGAAATACTGGTACTTTTACCTCATTAATGCTTGCTATTTAACCTCTGTGAACAATTTCAGTTTCATAAAATTTAAGCTGAAATTAAAAAACGGTGGCATCCGGAAATTGGGCACAAATTGGCGGAGTGTTCCCTAACGTGACGCACTTAAATAAATCTCGGAAAATTCCAAAGTAACATTTAAGAATTTCTGTAAACTTGATAAATTCTGATAAATCATTATTATCTCTACTTAAATACCAAGCCAGATGTTTGTCAGAAAATTATTTTCTTATGTTTCGGGGCATTTTCAAAGGGTTCAAAATAAAATCGAAAAATCACACCAAAATATGTTTTTCTTTTAACTTTGTAGGGGGTAAATAAACTCGCGATTTATAAACAGGAGTGTTTAGAACTTGATAAAATTTCACTTAAAACTTTTGCTCTAGCTAGGCGCTACAGGCGAAAAATCAAAGTGCGCCACGTTAGGGGCCGCGCCACGTTAGGGTACATCAACAATATATGTAAGTCTGTTCATTAGTAAGCAACACCAATATCAGTGACCCAGATTCAGTCTCAAAGCCTGTTGACCTGTCCAAATTGGGACTAGTCCACCCAGTAATTATAAATACTCCAACACACATGTAACAGTAATATAAATCCAACCTACAAAATCATCCTTGAATCATTGTCTCTGTACTTGAACCAGACTGAGTCCGGAGCCAGACTGAGTCCGTAAATTAGTAAGCTATGCCAATTCACTCCTTTCACACTCCCCCATTGGGCATGCAGAGCCCCGATCTGGCAACTGTACACAATAAAAATAGCCGGTTCATTGATCTTAACTCCGACACGGGAATCACTGAACCGGCTTTATTTATTGTGTAAAGTTGCCAGAGGCTCTGCATGCCGATGGCGGAAGTGTGAAAAGAGCGAATATATCAGTGACAGAGACGTTCCGTCTCAAAACCTTGTGGACCGGTCCAAATTAGGACTTGTCTGTGGGTCTAACAACTGAGTGCATTCCAGCACACATATGACAGTAATATCTGGTCATCCATAATGACTGTTTGAGTAACGTTGACCTTCTAAACTCCAAACAAGTACGCAAATTCCGGCTACGGTCATACTTTACTAATAAAATAACCACTCCACTGAAATAGTGGCCTAGTGTGTTTTGCTCAGGAAATCCTGTGCCGGTGTACTGCTGAGGATGACCAGGTGTTGGCTTCCTGTCAATTCCACCAATCAAAGATGGCTTAACGTAGGGGAAAGAGTTTAAGACTAAGAAAAGTAAAGTTTCATGTGGGGCATGCATCGTAATATCCTTTGACTTGTATATGAATACATGCATCATTCATGTCAGATAATGGTGAATTGCTTAGCTGGTGTGAGGGACCACGGATTTCCGTTTATTAGAAGGGGATTTTTCATCCGTCAATGTTTGTTCAATTTGGGCGATTTACAATGCAGTGCGCCACCAAGAGTTTACCACGGAGAGTTCATTTTTCCCAGTGCATTGTGGGAGATGGTCGACACATACGCAGCGCGGGACATTTGAAATTGTTAGTTTTTCCAGTCAGTTGTTTCGTAAGCGTATGCTTCAAGTATAAGTTATAAGTTTGCCCTTTTCTTTTCTTTTTATCAATATGGTGTTTTGTGTAAGGCGGCAGAACGCTATGCCGAATCTATAACAAATTAGCTCAAGGTGTCTACTGACACTCATTCAAATGGGCGGTGTTTTGTCGACAGTAAACTTGAAAAATTGACTCTCCATGGCAAACTCTTGGTGGCGCACTGCATTATGAATCGCCCAAATTGAACACACACTCGTACAGTTACACTTGAAGCATTTTTTGTTGTCTGCCAAGGATCTCCATGCAACTTGGGCCCATCATATAACTTTTGAAAAGAAATTAGTGAATAGAAAAGGAGTAAAAAGTAAATTGAGAAGATGGACTTGCACTTTATTTAAGAGCAAATCCATTTATATTTACATTTATTTCATTTTTCGGAATACTTTTGTTACAACAATTACAAACAATAACATTAAATACTCAGAAATACACAAGAACATTTAGACAAAACATACACAATATAATATTTAACCAGCTGCCACTGGATCACCCGAAAGAAACATGGTTTCTGTCGAGGGGCTCTCCAACTGATTAAAGTGCATTTCACTGACATAAATCCAATGCATTGCCAGGTCAGTTTCCAATGGGAGTTTTGTTCAAACTGGATGATAATAAACAGAATAGGACAACACATGGTCCTTTTCATGGCAGCAAAATTCGTCCCTAAATTATATACTAAATTGTATACATGTTCGGCGGTGTGGAAAAGGCACAGTGCAACCTGTTTGCCAGTCTGGGGAAAAAAAGGTGACCAAAAAATGGCACTCGTAATAGGCTGCTATTAAAAACAGGGCACTTCTTTTACAAAAAAAAAGGCCAGGTGTTAAAAAAAGGGCATTCTTTACAAATATTAGGGAGGGGGTTAAACGCTGCTGAAAAAAAGGGCACTTGAATGGAAAGGGCAGTCTTTACAAAATATTGGAAGGGGGGGGGGGGTTTAAATACCTCCTTACACCACCCCAACCCTCCCCATGTGAATTGATTTTGTTTTGCTGAAAGAAAGCTAACCATATTTGTGATTCGTGGACAAAACTATTAAACAGTGTTCTGTTTCTGGAGAAGGACATGAGTGATTTGAATGATTCTTGTACTAAAAGAAAGCTTATTAATTGGGCTTTCATATCCTAGATTTTGAAAGGGCTGCATGCAGAACTTCATAAAAAAAATTGGTCCTGACATTTGGGTTTTCCTTTTTACTCGCCCTGTATAAAACCATGCAGTATTCCCCAGCACATCTGTATTACTTTTTTCCCCCAGAATAAATGATGGCCTTGTGCGCCCTTTTTTACACCCATTGCACAAATACTTTGGTTCGGCTGAGGTTTACTGTCCCAGATGTGGGCAGTTGTATACCGCAGTAAGCTCAGGCGTGCTTTGTCATGTAAATATTTCAATAGCTGCAAGCAGCCCTGAACTTCTCAGAACGACAGAAATAAACTTTGGAAAGCCCCAGTAAACTTGGTGAATATAATGATGAAAAAAAATCAAGGGTGAAGATTTTTAGGATGTAATAAACAGCCAGTGAGTGTTTGATTTGACATTTTTCTAGTGCCAAGGCTAGTAACGGATTCAACTCTTGAATCAAGTTTTGATAGGTTTTTGAACTGAAGTGGAAAGGTGGCAAAAGGTCAAAGATATAAAGATTGTACAAATGTAAGTTCAACAAGATGTGGCTGCTACATGTACAACCAGTTAGGCCCCCCCCAAAAAATCGGTCTCTTGTCAGCGTGCGTGTCGATTTTGATCATGCGCGTCGATGTTTTTTTCCCCAAATTTTCCGCGGTAGCTACAACAGCAATGGAGGGCACCAAGGCAAATGATGGAGGACACCAACGCTTATGAGGACACAAAAAAAGCAAAATAGTACCCACCTTGTCTGTACAATCCAAGCTTAAAAAAAGGAAAGGAAAAAAAACCCACATCGCCGCATCAATTCCGGAACTTTGGCCTGACCAGAGACCGACTTTTTTTGTTTTGGCCTTACATATTTGAGGCTTTAGATTTTTTTTTCGGACTTTAGTCTGAAATCAGCTTTTTTGAATCTGAGAGAGAGAGACATCAAAAGAATTGCATCTTCAAACCTTTCTCCAAAATTTCAAACTTATCTTAAATGTCATAATATCATCCCTAGTATTATCATTCTAGTTTACTGCTACAAGAACCAATCGAAAGATGGATTGGGCTAGACTGCCATAATGATGTCCATATAGGCCTATGTACATATAAGTTCTTCAGTCATTCAACACACACAGACCTTGATGAAAAAGCTGTGCTAAATATTTCCTTATAAAGAAGACAGACATGCTTCCATTGACTCATACGACAATTTCATGTTTTCCTTCCTGTTATTGGGAGCGGAACCAAGAACTGAGAATGCTCTGCCACAATGACTACACCGCAATTGACACGCGGGATCATTCTGTTGATTCACTGGGGACTGTTTTGATTGCAAACTGAAAGTGTTTCAGATTTCAGTGCTGGAAAGTTCCCTTTTGTTACAAGGACTGTCTCAAGTTTCTGTGAAAATGGAAAGAAGAATCAGTCGTTGGGGAAAAGTAAAAAATGTCTTTGTTTAGTTTGAGACAAGATTTTCCTGGTTCACCGGCAGATCAAAGGATCTCTCACCTTTTATTATTATTATTACTAATCATTTCTGGTAATGAAACCAAGGATTCCTCAAAAGCGCCCTAGGCACTGTAGCTCGCAAGCCTGAAGAAACCTGTGGAGAGAAGACAAAGAGAAGAAGTTACAGTTTTAGAGGTGGGAGGAAAAGCCCAGCAGAATATTCTGGGGAAAACCCACAGAATCAGGCAGGGACTGAAAACCCAATCCACATATTGGCCCAGGCGGGATTCGAACCCGGGTCACAGCGGTGGAAGGCGAGGAAAGTACCGCTACGCCAACCTGACTCCCCAACGTGAACTTGAGTCCCTGTACAAATTGGGATAAATAGCCGACGTAATTGAGGTGTACTGGCAAATTGAAACATAACTGGGCAGGAATGGGGGGGGGGTTGCGACTTTGCTGGTATTAAAGGGAATATATAACATTTGCAAACATCGAAAAATAAAACTACCAAGTTTTAATGAAATACCTTACTATGATGTTGGTAAATGACAGTCTAAAGCATCCTATAAATTGTGGCACCTGGCGTGAAGTCATTTTCAAGAAAATGGTATTTTTGTATACATTTTCAACGGTGGTCGGCCGACCACCGTTGGAAAAACCCAACTATTTTTCAACTACTGCTCCAAATTTACCATTTTTTTTTTCAGTCCAAATTTTGTTTGCTATTGGTTACATGTTCATGAATGGGTGCAGGCCAGCTAGATTGCTTCCCTTACCTTACAAATTTCCCGCATCTATAAATGGATCCATTTTATCTTCAGTGGAGTCGGGGAACCAAACTACTTGAACATTTTTGTTTTTCTTGGTTTTTCCAGCATTTTCGACCACAAAACTTCAAACATGTCAGTGTACCAAGATTTGATCTATTATACCAACCCCTCAAATAGTTCATTTCTGAAAAAAAAAAAAGCCAATGATTTACATTCCTTTAAGAAAGAGAACAAGATTCTCCTTAAAATCCTTTTTGTTGCACTTGTACAAATCAGGGTTTTTATTGAATAGTAAAATGGATCTTCAAGTTGGGACTGTTGAGGAACATGAACATGTCTCACGTCTCAGTTGACGTAAACAAAAACAAACTATGTTGATTTTACATTAATGTATTACAGTGGAACGTCGCTATACCAAACACCGCTATACTGAACATTCAGCTGTACCGAACGTCATCTTGGCTCCCGATTTTCGTGTATAAAACATACCAGACATTGTTGTTGAAAAATGTCACAGAAAAGTGACAAGTCGCTATTATTTCTTATTAAGGGAAAAGCCACCTAATGCTGTAAGTAGTAAGCTCATAAACTGTGTAAATAGTCGGCACGTGTTCAAAGTCGCATTTCAGTAACTACCAGGGCGTGCAGTTCTGAAGGGAGCTATTTAATTGATCGAGAGTGTGTAGCGGAGCACAAGCAGCTTAAAATCACTATTCCGAACGATCGCAATTGCGAACAATTTCTGTGGATCTCATGATGTTCGTTATAGCGGCGTTCCACTGTATAGATAATTCCAAACTCATCTAAAGTTCAATATATTGAAGCTTTGAAACATGTAAAAGTCACTAAGGCTCCGGTTTCTGGTATGCGCACGCGTCGCCGTAGCCATGCGCGTCGGCAAAATGAAAAATTCTTTTTTTTCAATGAAAGATGATGTCTCAAAACCAAACTCACCGGTTTGACTGGAATCCTGCTGCTGCACAATTTTAACGTGTTTTTGGATGGGGTTATGATCGAGAATAAGCTCTATGTGGCCTCTCTGGACTCCCATATATTTGCACTAAGTTTAGTCGGGCACCATTTGCAGTCATCAGCCGACATTTGAGGCAAAAAAATCAGATAAAAAAAAAAGAAGCCGCGTCGCTGCACCACTTTTTGGGCAAGCTCCATACCAGAAACCGGAGACTTTTTTTTTGGCCTAACTGTGAAGGTTAAAAGTGGGTGAACTCATTTGGACTCACAATCTTTGGAGCAAAACTGAAATATTTTCTTTTTAAAATAGAAATATTTTCTTACTAAAATAGACTTGTCATTTTCTTTAACCTCCCATCAGGATCTTCTGAAACGCACTCCTCCTGCCCACGAGGACTACTCCATTCTTGCCCAGGTGTTGGAGAAGACCCGGACGTTCTTCAAGCAAATTGACGACGCCACCAGGGAAACAGATACATCCAAACAGGTCGGAATAACTAAATCCACATTTGTGCAATTTACTGGAATGCATTGAACGTTTATTACATTACATGGTATTTATTTGCTGATGAATCTATAGAACCACACAGTGCAGAGCAGTTTGGGGTGGTACAGGGAGTAACAGGCAGGGAGGTCTTGGGGTGGTTGAAGGACTTATTTTATTTTGTAACTTTTTTATGTTTGTCTGTTAGTCTTTTACATGTATACTTACTTTGCTTACTTTAGGATACCTTTAACATTATTCTGTTTAACAAACTTGTTTAATCGTTCAATAACCAATAACACTCACACAAACTGGCATAGAAAAGACCTTTTTCTCAAAATATACTTTGTTTGTAATATTTTGGCCAAATATGTCACTAAAAGGTTTGAGGTCAGCAAATTGGCTGCAATCACACAAAATTGTACATGCCTGCAGGCCTTCCATATTACCAAGTAAGAGAAGCTTGCTTATCTTGACGCCATCATTTGTGGATTTTACAGAAGAGGAGGTTGATCAAGGAGAGCTACCTGGTGGAGTTTAGTGAGGAGCGGAAACTGAGGCATGTCTTGCTGTGGTCGGACCTGATCATATGTGCCAAGGAAAAGCCTGTCAGGTGGGTATCTACAAGTCTTGTAGTCAAGTCCATCACAAGTCCATCACAAGGCCATCCAAAGTCCATCACAGGTCCATCACTAGTCCGAACACAAGTCCATCACAAGTTCATCACAAGTCCATCACAAGCCCATCACAAGCCCATCACAAGTTTATCACAAGTCCATCATAATTCCATACCTAGTCCGATCACAAGTCCAACACAAGTCCTTCACAAGTCCATTACTAGTCCGATCACAAGTCCATCATACGTCCATCACAAGTGCATCACAAGTGTATCAAAGATCCATCACAAATCCATTACAAGTCTTTCACAAGTCCATCACAAGTGCATTACAAGTCCATCACAAGGCCATCAATGTCCTCCACATGTCCACCACAAATCCATCACAAATCCATTACTATTCCGATCACAAGTCCATCACAAGTCCATCATACGTCCATCACAGGTCCATCACAAGCCCATCACATGTCCATCACAAATCCATCACATGCCCATCAGAAGTCCATCTCATGTCAATCACAAGTCAATCACAAATCCATCACAAGTCTATTGCAAGTCCATCATAAGTCCATGACAAGTAAACCACAAGTCTGTCACAAGTCCGTCACAAATCCATCACAAGTCTATCACAAGTGAATCACAAGTAAATCACAAGTCCATCTTGTGGAGATATGTCATAAGAAAGAAAGAGGGACTCTCCTGAAGACGGTCAGAGCATACTGACCGGAACGTCGAGTTTATACCAATGGTTCTTTTCAGAACCATTCTCTTAGTTGAGAAATTATTCGCACATGGTGTTTCCGCAAACCTTTCATTATTTAAAGAGGGACTTGCTATATTCCAAACCCATACCAAATTAGGACTTATCTTCAGACTCGCATTGTAGGCTTGGTCATGCTTTGTCACTCATTTTAATATGTCATTTTGTTTTCCTTGAACAGTGGAATGTTTCACCGTGACAAGGCCCAGTATGACTGTCAGTGGTACATGCCACTCGCGGAGTTGTCACTGACACCTAATGAGAGATCAGAAGGTGGGTATTTATGAAGATGTTGGTTGGTCTGTCGGTCTGCTTGCCTGTCTGTTTGTCAGTCTGTCCATCTAGTATCCAAATCCTCTCATTCAGCAAACTTGGCAAACTTATGGTTAATCACAAGTCGGTGATTAGTTAAAAACAAGTCAGTCACACGTCATCCTGTTTGAATTCGATCGACAAGTTTTTTCAAATGAGAGCTTGTCATTTCGTCTTTCAGTTTGCTGGTCATTTGGACCTGTCTAGTATCCAAAGGTTCTTGCCAAGCATGTTTAATGTACAGACTTGTAATCAAAGACCTGCCAAGTTAATCACAATTCAATAACAAGTCATCTAGACCCAAGTCCGGTTCACATGAGGTTTGACAAAGGCATTTCCTTTCTCACTGTTCATGCCCATTTTTGGTGAACTATTTTGACAACTCGTAATGATTTGAATAAGCCAGTTCGGTATTTCAATGACCTGAGGTCATTCGGGATAACATCGCTGACGTGATGTTATGCACACCCCAATTTTGCTGGTATTTTCCTCGCAAGCGTTGCGCCAGCGTTCATGCGCTTTTGAAATGTTTGATTATCCCAAATGACCCGTGACCCATATCATTGTGCACATGCGCACTTGAAATACCGAACAGGCTTATTGTGATAGATTTGCTAAGAGCATTCACGTAGTACAGTGGTCCCAGTGTTTTTCTGGCATAGTCAGTTGTGTTAGTTAAGCCAAGTTATCAAAGTGGGCGTTCTTGGCGACGTTATAAACAGGAAACCTGGCTTGTTATGTAAGTTCCCATAGTGGTTCAATGAATGGGATACTCCTTCCGTTGTGAATTGTAGGCCAGGTCATCAGATAATGCAAATTGGATTCAATCCTAGTTCCCTTATCCTGTTATCTTCAACCTCAACATTAAGGCCAGTCGTTTCCTGAGGGACTTGTCGCACAAGGTAATTTGCAAAATATTTAGGCAGTCTCCAAGATTAAAATCGGCAAATTTCAATTTCCTGTTATGACCTTAGGACAACGGGAAAACGGACTTGGTTCCTCTGGGGCACCTTTAAGCTTGCATTTGATTGTCTCTGACTTGCCTCGTGAGAACTACTAAGTATTGTGTGAAATCTGCAATAAATTTCCCTTGTAAACATTCCCAGAAAACCTTTCTCATTTTGAACACATGCCTGAATACCGCTGGTATACATCCTCTCTAGGCAGGCCCTGGCAAATCCAGTCAGAGTCTTTACTATTTTGACTCTCGTCAGCCAATCAGAATGTCCGTGTAGACTACGTGACATTTCCTACGCACTGAATATTCAGGTGTGGCATTGACAGGGTCAACTCGGTTAGCCAATAGGAGTAGACTTTTCAGGACAGCACAGCACAGCACACTGCCATTTTATTTGGTAGGTGGTCAGCTCGGGGTCAGCTTATGTCAAGAGCGATCTGATTGGTCAGAAATGATATCAGTCCATATTTGGAAGTGTTCATGAATAATTAATCTCACAAGGTCTAAATTTGGACAGATATGGACTCGGGTTGTAAGGGTGCATGAGTAGGATTAGCCTGGCTAGCGAGGATGAGCTCAGATCAAGAGCGTTTGCCTATCTAGAGAGCTGTGGTCTCGTGGTTACGGTGTTCGACTCGCTTGCCATGGTATGTGGGTTCGAACCCTGACAGGGAACATGGTGCTTGTGTGCTTAGGCAAGACACTTTACTACAGTTGCCTCCCTCCACCCAGGAGTATAAATGTGTACCTGTGAAGGCACAGACTAAAATGCGCTGATCTTGAGCTGCTGCTCAAACTGGTCTCTCGGCCTGATGAACAAGGGTAAAATTGTAAAGCGCTTTGAGACCGTTGGTATAAAGCGCTATATAAGCACATTATTATTATTTATTATTATTATTATCTGTGTGCATGCTACCCTGGGGACACCTTCTAGCATTGAACTCTGAAAACGCTGCCTAATCCCACAGGGAATGTGCTGTATCCCAAAAGAGATCATTTTGAAAGAAGAAAGTATGTTACCTGCTTTTTGAGATGTTTTTATTTCTTGTCAAACATACATTGTTAAAAAAAAAGTAAAGTCTGTCACGAGTCGATGTGGCCCATCAGGCTGGCGTTTATCTCCGGTTTCAGTAGCATGAAACGACTGAGAATATTTCTATTCCCCCCTGGAGGGGATGCTAGTCCATCATAGGTTACTCCCAAGCTAATGCCTGTACACATTCATAGTCCATGATGGAGAGAGGCTAGTGGGGTAAGGCAGCTGGCCCAAGGATGCACTATATGACCATCAGCTGGATTCGAACCTTGACCCCCTGAGCATAAGTCACAAACCTTAACCACTTGGCCAAACTCCTCCTAAACATACATTGTATTTCTCTCTAAAAGCCCATTTTTACTCAACAGGAAAGCACTTGTGAACACAAATTTGTGCTGTACGTCACAACAAGTCATTCTGTGAATTTTGCAAAAGTTGAACACATTTCAACTCTGGCACATATAACGTCAAACATTTCATGGCCAACATGCAGTTTATCTGTGCTGTGTCACATTTGTAAGAAGTATGAACCAACTGCGGGGGATGCTTGTTGCCTCGGCTGTCACTTGCTCTGTCCTCTATTTTGTTCACACAGCCCCAGGCAAAATCACCAACATGAGCGACCAAGAGTTGGACGACTTAAAGAAAGTGATCACCGACCTCAAGGCATCCATCCGCAAGGAAACCAACTCAGGCGTGGTAAGAGACTTCATAAACATCCAGTGTGATTCAATGTAATGGGTTGTAGTGGTTCTTACTACCAACATATTTCTAAGTTAGCTGGTTGAGGGGCCATTCAGAAAAGTCAATGTGTAAACATTTCGATCTTTTTTCAAAATTGTGGGTGGGTGGGTGGGTCAAAGGAAATAACTGAAATTGAAATTCAGTTTTCCAATTAAAGTAGAACAAATAATAAAAGTAGAAGGGGAATAAAACCCCCAAATACCCGGCTGCCTCTTCAAGATGGTCTGTCAATGTCTGTGCTGTTCGGTCATGACCGTTGTCATCGTGTTAACCTTGTTTCAATAGCCTACCTCCGGGTCCCGATAGTCCACCTCCTTCCAACAGTAGATAAGTGGGGAGATCGCCTGAGTGACCCTTCGAACATTTGTGGGTTGGAGGTTGGGTTTAGCGTAAACATCGAAGTAGACTGAATTACGAGTCTGTAATGTTCAGGTTTTGTTTTTTCTCGGTACAATGTGCGCAAGCCAATACGGCAGTACAACACGGTTCGGTACATCAGTGGCACTCACTCAGCGGTGAAACCAGGCATGAATTGAAGACTAGTGCAGTGCTGACACATTTTTGCGATAAACATGGCAGCCATCACTTGTGTATTTTTGTGTGAGATCCCGTCAGATCTACAACACTTGTGGACACAGCAAAAGCTAATTATAAAAAAGCCAAAAGAACCATTATATTTTGGGTTTTTTTTAGTTTTAAATGTAGTGTCATAAAAAACTGAAAAACAAACAAACGTTTGTGTTCTTGGCAATTGCCTCTTCTGTTTCAACTACAAAGTTGCACGCTGGATTAGCTTTGAAAAGCCATTGAAAACTCCTGATCTGGGAGAGCATTAACCTAAAATATCTGTTTCGTTTGAAGCAGTACTTTGTTCTTCAGTGTATAGGATATATTGAATCGAATTTGGGGTGGGTGGGTGGGTCAAAACAATTTGAAACATTTTTAAACATTGACTATTCTGAACGACCCCCTAAGTAACAAATATTTTTGTGTTTTAGAAAAAATGTGTACAGTGTTGAAATGACCGCTTTGAGAAAGGTCCTACAAGTACCAAAACGTTAGGCCATTCAACTTTTTTTATATTATATTCAACATTTAAGAATATCCATGAAAAGCAACCCCCAAAAAAGTGATAGTCTTGAAAAATCTCTTAGAACTTCGTGTTAAGCCCGGTTCATACTTCACGCGAATGCGAAAGGGAAGTAAATTTGACTGACGTGGTGAAACTTTCGCTGCGAAATTTGCCCGAGATGATATTTTCAACTTTTATGAATTCGCAGGGCAAATACTCCCCACGATGTCAAAAATGTGTGTATGCTTTCACTTTCACACGGAGTATGAACCGGGCTTCAAGTGCAGTGTTGTAGTTGAGTCCATCACAAGTCCTTCAGTCTCAAGTCCAGTCACAAGCAATTCAAAGAAACTGTGACAAAAGCTTTCCTTTGTCATTGTGCATCCCCTGTTAATTATGTGACAGGACTTGGGAACGGACATCGTGGTGGACTCCATTTCCACACTGGTTAGGAAAAACGTGAACAGCCTGCTGTTGGCCTGTATTTTTGTTTGCAAATACTCCCTAGTTAAAGAGGTTGTGGAATGCTTGAAGACATTTCCGTCATTTTTCGGGTATATGTAGCCTAAGGTGTGATGAAATAAAAACGACTATTGTGTCTGTCATGAAATGAGTACAAAAGATACTTTTGAGAGCTGTTTTTTAGGTCCTGTTTCGACCCGAACGTGCAATTTGTGTAAAAGTTGTCGTTGGGGGCAGCAAACAAGACATAGTAAATCGTGACGTAATAAACAGGACTCCCGATGCAGCGTAGTATAAACGAGTCCTGTTTATTACGTCACGATATACTATGTTTTGTTTGCTGCCCCCAACAACGACTTTTACACAAATTGCACGTTCGGGTCGAAACAGGACCTGAAAAACAGCTCTCAAAAGTACCCTTTGTACTCATTTCATGACAGACACAATAGTCGTTTTTATTTCATCACACCTTAGGCTACATATATCCGAAAAATGACGGAAATGTCTTCAAGCATTCCACAACCTCTTTAAAACTGGACTGAGTTGAGAGAAATTTGAAGAAGTAGTTTCTAAGTTAACGTTTTAACGTACTTGCTTGTTAAAAACATACTTAGTGTCTAATCACAGCAACCCTGTGTGCATCTTTACAACTTGAACCCAAGCGTGTGTCTTATTTGACAGAGCCTAACCTCTTTGAGTAATTCACTAGGAACCTTCCTCACTCTTGCAAAATCCAACACCATATGGTAAACTCAACACCCAAACTGTTGGGCTCTGATTATGGTGGTATGCCTGACCCCATGTAAAGCATGTTTACTTGAGCAGTACTCACTCCAACAGAATCTATTAAAAACATGCAGTTGGATTTTGAAGGGTTGGGGTGGTTAGGGGTATTCAAGTATGGGCTCTGTGTGCGTACAAGAAAGGGGTCAAATGTCAAATCACCCAATAGGATAAACTCTACCCCCTTCAAATCGATTCATATATAGTGTATGGGGTATTTGGGATGAATAAGCTGAAAGTCATAATACTTCAAATTACTTCGACATGAAAACTAATGGTAAATTTGGAATTCTTATGATGTAACCTTTCCAAAGAAACCAAGATTAACAAATTTGGCCAACATGTAATGGAGATGTGGTCATTTTAAAATTGGCGGCCACGCCCATTTTGACCCAAATTGCCAATGGTGAGCAGTAGCGGGACAACCGTTGGTGCGATGGCGCTAAAACTTGAAGATTTCATCTTTTTCAGCCTAAATTACCCCATACAGTAAATATAAACCAATTTGAAAGGGGTGGGGTTTAAACTTTCAATTTTAGGCAGGTGATTTGACACAGAATGACCTGAAGGTGTCGTTCAAATGTCTCTCCCAGTGGTCTCCCCCAACTGTCCTTATCGTACCGTTGAGGGGGTACTTGCGCACCGAGCCCCATAACAGGATTTGATTAGCACCAACTGATACCCTGCTATTTAACCTGTGTGTTTTATCCTTCCCTGGTCTCTCCTGTTGTCTTTTTTCCCTCTCCCTACATCCAGCCCTCCAGTCCGGGTGGGTTATCCCGTCTCCACTCAACCGGCAGGGTATGCAAATACAAAAAACAAAACAATCAAATCCTCGGCCATTGGCTACTGGTTGATGTGTACTTCCTAATTCTAACAAACTATCAAATTAACAAAACGTCTATAAGCTAACACTTTCCCACTCTCTCAAGGGCTGGTATAGCATTTGCACATTAGTATACTGGAATTCGCCAAACAAAATTAGAAGTCGTGTTTGAGATGGCGTCACGTTCACGCGCATGCCGCACACCTTCTTAAAGACAAGGTGCGCGCTCATCTTGGTAACCCTCTTGGTCGAAGGAGCCAGAAGTGTGTGCGTACTACCTGAACAAGACTCACGCGAAAACTAAACAACTCAATCAACTGAACAAGTGCATTTGATAGCAATGGATAGTGGGGTAGATAGGGGAGATATTTGGGGGAATCGTGCCTTTGATGATACAAGCATGGCATTTGGCAAACAGTCAGAGTATGTCATGAGAAAGATATTTGGCTATAGGGCCATCGCAGATTTGTCCTTTGAAAAAATATAGGTAGAATAACTAGCAATGCTCAAAACTTTCAAAATGGCTACCATTGCTTGTTATTCTACCTGTATTTTTTTCAAAGGACAAATCTGTGATGGCCCTCAAGCCAAATATCTTTCTCATGACATACTCTGACTGTGTGCCAAATGCCATGCTTGTATCACCAAAGGCACAATCCCATCGCCTATCTGCCATGCTATGATGAGTAGAGAGCAGTAGACATTCCCCATCCATAATCTGCAGCAATTTCACTGACGAGATTAACTGCAGAAAACTTGTTCTGTTTTCATTTCAAATTTGGAATCACTGCAGTCAGTACCTCATTATTGTAAAGTCCTTCACAAGTGAAATCACAAGTCAATCACAAGTAAAATCACAAGTCAATCACAAGTAAATTCACACCAAAGGAATGCCTCTGTTACAGATGGTTGAGTAGCTTGAGAGTTGATTTGATACTTGACTTTCGATTGATTTACGTACGAGTTGACATCAACTTCATCCTTTTCCGCAATATATATTGCATCAACTTTTACTTTTGCACGTAATTTCATTCAATTCATTGTCAGATTGTTGCAAATCTTACAAATGGCCTTTGAGAAATAAATACGTACAGATGTATATATGTAGCTCGGGGGCTAACATGCTGTTAATTACTTCTACATCCTTTGTGTCAGACACCACAAAAACGAAAACAAAAGGTAGCATACAAGGTGAGTTAAAAAAAAAACGAAACCCAAATGCTGGAACCATTGTTTTAGTGAAGTTCTGCATGTAGCACTTTCAAAATCTAGGATATCAGAGCCCCATTCATAAGCTTTCTTTTAGTACAAGAATCAAGTCATTCTGTTTCCTTGTACTTGTGACTTGAGTGACCATGTATGCTTCTAATGGTTGCACTGTATTTCAGTTTTGTGCTGTGTTGTGTTGTTAAAATGTGTTAATATTGCTTCCTTTAGTTATTTGCATGTTATAGTGTACAGATAACATTGGTTGCATTTGTTATTAAACACTGGTTAACACTGGTTAACTCTAGTTAACACTGGTTTACACTGGTTAACTCTGGTTAACCCTGGTTGCAATTCGGGCGATTCACAATGCAGTGTGCCACCAAGAGTTTGCCACGGAGAGTTCATTTTTCCCAGTGCATGGTGGGAGATGGTCGACAAATTCGCAGAGCGGGACATTTGAAATTGTTAGTTTTCCGGTCAGTAGTTTCATAAGCTTATGATTCGAGTATCTGTGTGCCCTTTTCTTTTATCAATGGTGTTTTCTGTAAGGTGGCAGAACGCTTTGCCCCAATCTGTAACAAATTAGCTCAAGTTGTGTACCAACAGGCATTTCAATGGGCAGTCTTTTGTCGACCGTAAACTTGAAAAATGGACTCTCCATGGCAAACTCTTGGTGGCGCACTGCATTGTGAATCAGCCGAATTGTGTTCATTTTGTTTCTTTCTAGTTTGATTTCAGTGCAGTTTAGAGTGTGTGCTGTTAAAGAGGTTGTGGAATGCTCGAAGACATTTCCGTCATTTTTTGGGTATATGTAGCCTAAGGTGTGATGAAATAAAAACGACTATTGTGTCTGTCATGAAATGAGTACAAAGGGTACTTTTGAGAGCTATTTTTCAGGTCCTGTTTCGACCCGAACGTGCAATTTGTGTAAAAGTCGTCGTTGCGGGCAGCAAACAAAACACAGTAAATCATGACGTAATAAACAGGACTCGTTTATGCTACTCTGCATCGGGAGTCCTGTTTATTACGTCACGATTTACTGTTTTTTGTTTGCTGCCCGCAACGACGACTTTTACACAAATTGCACGTTCGGGTCGAAACAGGCATGACAGGACTTGAAAAACAGCTCTCAAAAGTACCCTTTGTGCTCATTTTATGACAGAAACAATAGTCGTTTTTATTTCATCACACCTTAGGCTACATATACCCGAAAAATGACGGAAATGTCTTCGAGCATTCCACAACCTCTTTAACACTGGTTGCATGTGCCTGAGCAATAACAAAGTAACTTTTAACTGCCTTAGAACTGATAATTTACCAACTGCTAAATTATCCAGCTAAGAAATGATACGTGCACTGTAAGCTTTTTCATATTCAACAAAAGTTTATCAACTGAATCAATATCAAGATAGCAAAGCAATTAAAGTTATGAATTACGGTTTGTCATATTTTGTAAAATGTTTATAAACAGCTGATTTTGTTTTCTTTTTGAAACTTTTCTATTCTGACATGTTCAGATGGTTAAAAAAGAAATCTGTCTCCAAATTGCATGTTTTTTTTTTTTATTGTTGCACTGCACGTCACATCAGAAAATAATAGCACTCTGAAATGTCCACTTTGTGTCAAAACTTCAATTTAACACATAACTCAGATCATTACACTGGACAAAATTTTTCTTTTGTTGAATTTTGTCTTCAATTTACAGAGACAGAGCAAGCAGCTGGTGAAGACGATGGAAGCCAAGAAGAAAGAGCTGGCAACACATGTAAACCACTTCTAGTCCTTTAAATCTGCTCTTGTTGAAATGCGAAAGCCTCTATAGTTCTGTTTTTCATTTTTGCAAGTTTAGGTACAAATTTATCAGCGAGCACTGAGCAGTGAAATGTTGTACTCCATGTGACGTTGTGTTCCCACGAATATGTGCTGTCCACATTTTCAATTTATCTGATAACAGTAAGGCCAAATAAAAAAAAACATATTTAGCATCCCACCCGCCTCTTTTAAAAAAAAAAATTTTAATTGCAAAAAAAAAAAAAAAAATGATAAATTTGAAACAGTGACATCATTTTGGCCTCTTTGTCTGTTGCATCTAGCCCATATAAACTGGTATGTCATTTCCTGAGTCCAATGGCGGCCATTTAAAAACAAAAAGCTGGAGGCTATCTTAAAAAATAGCCGGGTCGGGCAGCCATTTTGGAAGAAAATAAAAGGGCCTCCTTCCTTTTTTTTCAAAAAGGCAGGACGCTAAACATGTGTTTTTTTTTTTTTTAATTTGGCCTAATGCATAATGGTTATTTTGCCACTGTTAAGCCGGGTAAAGTCATGAACTGGGGCCAATTCAGTAGAACTGCTTTAAAGAAAAATTTAAAGAGCCCAGAGAAGTATTATGGATACAGAAAAGTGGGGCCGCCCATATCCGAATAATTTAGTATTCGGTTATTCGGAACTGGGTTTCACTGAATATTCGATTATTCGAAACTCTCTGATCAAGTTTTACACACGCCAACTGTAATGAACGCAGTGCGATATCACCTCAGTGTGTGACATGCATTTTTATTGTCCAGACACGTGGCCGTCCTAGACCAATGAAATTACAGTATCAAAGCACACGATATAACAAGTGCATGTGATTGTCTTACAAAGTAATACGGTAGTTTTATGCAGATTTTAACGACGTTTTTGTCGACAAATGCTTCATTTCAACAGGAGGGCACAGTCATTATAGAGTCGCCCAAACTACACCTGCACCTCTACCATCACCAGGGAAAGGTAAGCAACTCCCTGATTTGAACTTAGCCTTCTGGTTGGACATTTGTTAGACTCCTGACCGCGGAAACATGGTGCATGTGCTCTTGAGCAAGGCACTTTACCATTATTGCTTCGTCCTTCGGATGGGACGCAAAGCCAGTAACACTTATCGCTAAGAGAAGGGGTTTGCCCCGGTGTTTCTGGCAGTGGCTGCAATATGTGCCGCAGCACCTTGTAAACCCTTATAAGGTGCTGCATAATGGGTCTCATATTTCTCATAAACTTTATTCACCTTTCTTAAATAGTTGACATAATTTCCAGCGCCTTGCATACCTAATTGTTGGTAGATACGTGCGCTATATAAGACTCCGATATTATTATTATTATTTAGCAGTATTTTACTAGACTTGCAATATCTATGATGTCAAAGTACCACCTAACCAACCGGTTTGCCTGTGATCGCTGACTGACTGGCCACCATTGCACTAGGCAAACGTTTGGTTTGTATTTCTTCTTTTTCTTCGTTTGGTTTTGGATTTGCATCGACCAGAGAGTTTGTCCTTGTTGTACTTACCAATATTCAGCGTTTATTTGTATATTTACTCTTTTAATAAAGAGGAGTATGCATTGGTTGTATTTTATTTGAACACAGACCTACACCTTGCTGATGTCCTCGGACTACGAGCGCTCTGAGTGGAAGGAGGCCATCCTGACAGCCAAGAGAGAATGCCGAGTGACTCCGTCGCTCACTCCCTACCACATTGAGAAACTACTCACTAAATGCAGGAGGGTGAGAAACTTATTGTTATTATTGATGATTTTTCTGGTAATGAAACCAAGGATTCTTCAAAAGCACCCATTGCACTGTGGCTGGCAAGCCCTAAGAAAACTGAAAAAAAAAGTAAAGTCTGTCCCGAGCCAATGTGGCTCATTAGGCCGGTGTTTATCTCCGGTTTCCTTGGCATGAAACGACGGAGAATATTTCTACTCCCCCTGAATGGGATGCCAGTCCATCGCAGGATTACTCCCCAGCTAATGCCAGTACACATTTATACTCCTGGGTGGAGAGGGGCAAGTGGGGGTGAAGTGCCTTTCCCAAGGACACAACATACGGCCAGCGGCTGGATTCGAACCCCGGACCCTCTGATCATGAGTCACGAATCCTAACCACTAGGCCACACACTCCCCCCTAGAAAACTGAACAGAGAAGAAATTTATGAAATGATACAGTTTTAGTGATTGGAGGAAAGCTCAAGAAAAGTATTCATAGGAAAACTCACGGAATCAGGTAGGGGCTGAAAACCCAATCCACATGTTGACTTGGGCAGGAATCTAACCCGGGCCATAGCGGTTGAAAGCACAGAGAAAGAACCACTGAACGAACCAAACTCCCTAATGAGGAGTTTGAGAGATCCAGTAGAAAGTCGCTATGATAAACAATGGTTTGTAAAAAGATTGTCTGGTATAGCAGTATTCTTCATAGGTGTCTTCAGCCGCCGGTGCTCAGTATAATGTTATACATAATTTTGGGAGCCAAACGTGAAGTTTCTTACAGCCAAAATTTTCGGGGAAAATGAAGTTTGTTTATAATGATAAAAGATTGTCTGGTATAGGGGTGTTCTTTATAGGTATTTTCGGCCATCGATGCTCAGTATAATGGTATATACAGTTTTGGGGGCTGAACTGGAAGTTTCTAACAGCCAACTTGTTGGGGGAAAAATTGATGTTTGTTATGTAAATGTAGATTCCTGTATTGTTTTACCTTGCAGATCAATTACATAGATTAGTAGTTCTGGCTTTTTTAAAGGGAATATACATCATTTGCTTTTGCTGTAATTTTCAGAAATGGATGGAATTGAGGGGGTTGGAAATATATAGCAAATATAGTTACACTGACTTTTTTTAGGTTTAGGGTTCGAAAATGCTATAAAAACCAAGAAAAACAATCATTTTCCTGTAGTCTGGTTCCCTGACTACATATAAGAAGAAACAGAGCAGTTTACATACATTGGGGAATTGTAAGGTCAGGGAACCAGTCTAGCTGGCTCGTACCCGTTCATAGGTTTGTAATCGATTGCAAACAAGTGCGATGGTCAATTGGGGCCAGTATTTGAAAAAAAGCCAGTTTTTTCCAACGCTGATCGGCCGATCAGCGTTGGAAATTGATACAAAAATACCACTTTTCTTGAAAATGACAGTATACCAGGTGCCATGATTTTACAGGATGCTTTACACTGTCATTCACTAACAGTCCAGCAAGGTATTTCAAAATGATTTGGTAGTTTTATTTTTTGATGTTTGCAAATGTTGTATTTTCCCTTTAACACCATGCTTTAAAAAACAAACTTTTTTTGAAAAAAAAGTTGGGTGATATTTATAGTAAGCTGAGGAGTCCTTGTAAGAAAAGCCAGACCAGCTGTACTGATTCAAACACCCAGAAATTATTAAAAAGTTTCAGATATGTTTCTCTTCAAGCCGTTGATGGCTTATTCTTGAGTGCGTAACCGCATTATCTTTAGAAAAAAATGTTTGTGTTCAAAGTATATAAAATTACTTGCCAAGTTTGTATTTTCTGTTTTAACAGGGTCGAAAGATCAACAACATTGGATCCATCCTCATCAAGGATGGTAAGTCAGTTTTTCTTTAAAGAAATTATGGTACCACCATTTTTGTTTCAATATAATATGAGGGGTAGAATTTTAAAGCTGCTGGATAGCTCAGTTGGTAGAGGCCCCTTAAAGTAATCCAGAGGTCACAGGTTCAAATCCCGGTCCTGTCAATTCTATGTTCAACGTTATAATTATTATGCATGGGCACGTGTGGTTTTGCGGTTGAGCACAGGATTCATGATCGTAAGGTTGTGGGTTTGAGCCCCGCCGCCGCCATGCGTGTTGTGCCCTTGAGTAAGGCGCTTTACCTCAATTACTCCTCTCAACCCAGGTGTTAAATGGGTACCGGCATTATTCAATGCTGGGAAGGTAACAGACTCGCTGTGGAGGAGGTGTGGCAATCCCCCCACAGCAGCATATGAGTCTGGCCCAATCGCGAATGAAGGAGAGATGGGCACTCCATTCCTGTGAACATGGGTTCGTCCCCTTTACCTTTTACCTTCTTATGCATGCACCTAGTCAGTTTCCCTTTGTGGTTTATTTGACAATATATAAATTTTGTGCTTCTTTTTTTCCCACTTAATAGAGGAAGAGCTGTTGTTTGGGACATTGCATGTGATGGTCCACCAAGCCAAGGGACTCAAAGTGCCTGCCCGTATGTATCTCAATCATTCTTTTGATCACAAGGATTCCAGAAAGACTGTCAGTGTCACATTATTTTTGTTCGAAGAATCTTATTATATAAAGTCATATGACAGTGCTGTATCATGGGCGTAAATCCTGGGGGGGATGTGGAGGATATAGCCCCTCCCACTTTTTGACCAGGGGGGTTGATGGGCCATTGCATCATCCCTTTCCCCCTGCCAAGATTTTTACGGTGAGAAACAAAAAATGCTGAATTTCAGGTTATTTTTTTAACTTTCCAATGGTGCAAATTTATTTAATAATTTTGAAAAACGGAGAACTAACAGAACAAATGCTTGCAATGCACTGTTTGTATGTAAGGTTAAGCCCGCAGCTTGTACATTTGTATGATGAACAGCCCCACACCCCACTCTCCCCCCCTCTCCCCCCTCCCCCCCCTCCCCCTCCCCCCCCCCCCCCCCCCTCCCCCCCCCCCCCCCCCCCCCCCCCCCCCCCTTAGCGTCATGTGGTGAACTCCAATTCTCTCTAATCTGTTGACAGAGATGTACTGCTGCTTGGAGGTGGACTCCTACGGCATCATCTCTCTGAGGGCCCGGACCACGAAGTCGGAGAACTCCAAGATGCCCACATGGAACCAGGAGTTTGGGCTGGAGGTTGAGGGGGCACAGACACTGCGGATACTGTGCTACGACTACACCAAAGGGTTGGAGGATGAGATGATCGACAAGGGGGCCAAAACGGTGAGTCTGTTTGATTGGAGGGGTTTGTGGGATAGACATGGTTTGAGGTTTGATAGTCGATATTAGCTCCTTGAGGTATTGGAAGTTGACAGACTAGTTCCCTAGGTTAAGCCATGGGAACTAGTTTTCCACTAGTTAGCTTCCAATATTTGTTTTACTATACCTTCTACATAGTCATGAAGTTATGCATAAGTTTCCCCGGCAACCAAAATGTTGTTATGCATGTGCCCCATCTTTTCTTATGGTAGCCTGCTGCATGCTGCACGCTAGGGTGATGTTCGTGCGTGCGCACTACCCCCGTGCACCAGTTCCACGATTTCTTCGTAAAGCGCATGCGTAGTAGACTAGCGCATGGGTAACCCGTGCGCTAATCTACAACGGATGCATATCTAACCTGTGCGTGAAACCTCGCGTGCGTGCTTGGTAAACAGCAAAAAAAGCATCTGGTACGTGATGGTGAATTGACCAGTGAGAATTGGCTCTCGATCATGAATATGTATGAGGTATAGTAGCCCTTTTCCCAGACTGGATTTGTAGTTGAATTATCCCGGTTTGCACACAGAATCCCTGGCAAGGGTGTTTAGAGAGATGTGGGAGATGTTGCTATCAAGATGGAATTCCTGTCTGGGCAAACGGCGGCTACTGGATGAAACAATTCTGAGCGTTTTTCCATGTAATGCTGTTGTTCAATATAATGCGTGTTTCTGCAGTTTGCTCAGACTTTCTCGGGGCCAGGTGCCAAAGTTGCCAAGACTGGCATTTGATTCATCTTTAATATTTAATTGAACCTTCTTCTGCTGCGGCATCTAAGATTGCAATTGCAAAGGACCGGCTGCTCTTCAGAACAATATCCAAATCTAGCATGAAAGTTTGTTTCCTGTCCAATTATTATATCAATTAAATAAAGATACCTTTTTGAGACTTTGATTACAGAACTCGTATCAGGAGCTTGCGATACCATCACGGTGTCTTTGTCCATTGGTGTCGTTGAGGCCCTCACGTGACCCGTCACGTGACCAAGCTTGGTCGCACAACAGGAGGCGGTCGTACACGTGACGGGTCACGTGAGGGCCTCAACAACACCAGTTGACAAAGACACTGTGATGGTGTCGCAAGCTCCTGATGCGAGTTCTGTAATCAAAGTCTCAAAAAGGTATCTTTTATTTAATTAATATCCAAATCTAGTTTACTGTCTTGCACCAAGACCAAGGACCAAGGATGAGTTGATTGAAAGGAGGCAGTGATTGGGAAGAGTGAGGAGCGGGATAGGGTAGCACTAGGGCTGGGACGGGTTGACAGGTGCAAGGAGCTGGAGTGGGTTCTGTTGCAAGGGCAGACCCTAGACCAAGATGTGTAGGATGACCGATCCGTGTTCATATGAGATTTTGTTCTTAGTTTCTTGCTGACATTATTTTTTTTGACAGTTAACAAGATCAGAGATTGGCAAGAGGGAGCTGAAAACAACCATCAAAATGGATAAGGTAAGATCAGCTGAATACAAAGAGGAGGCGTGGCATCTTGAAGATGGAGATTTTCCACAAGTGTGTGCTTTTGTCCTATAGTGTAGTACCTGCTGCATTTTGTCAAGTCGATAGTCATGACAAATCTGTTGCAGAAAGCTGACATTTCATAGGATTAATTTTGCTCAAAAAGAAAAGTACTGAGAATATTCTAATATTAGTGTTTGAAAATGAAGATTTTGCTGAAATAAAATGAACACGATTTCTTCCTTTTTTCTTTTAACTCTGTCCTAGAAAACTACCCCCAAAACACAATATTTTATCTTTAAAAAAATAGCTTTTATGGCGTGATTCCCTCTTCATACAGAATAGGGAAACATCCAAGTATATATTTTTTTTTTGTCAGAAAACCTGTGAACTTTTCATTTTTGCATGCTTAACTACAGAAGGATTTTTGACGTGCACAAAGGGCGTCACACTAATATTTGTGTATACCATGAAGCCATGCTTTTACAAGTTACCAAAAAAAACTTCAAAGTGGCAAACTAAACATAAACTGTACCGTCTTTCTCTTCCTCACAGCTTGAAATTGACATCGCCCTGAGATTTGAGTCGACGGAGAAGGTTTTGAAGCGGGTGCAATCCAAGAAGAAGTTGGGTGTGTTTGGGGTCCGGATCAGCAACCTGTGCCACCGAGAAGGCACCAAGATCCCTAACATCGTCAAGCTCTGCGTGGAAGAAGTTGAGAAAAGGGGTACGTCCCAGCCTTTTTTGTTTGTCTACATTTTTCTTTTCTTACCTTCTGTTTTATGTACGAGTACTGACTTTGTGGCTGTTTTGTACATAAACGTGGTCGAATGTTGTATTCCTCCATTTTAATGTGTTGAGCATAGCAGGCCACTACATACACCTGCTTGAGATGACATGTTGGTATGTTTGCTTGAACATCTTAGCACAACATTTAAAGGGACGTTACGACCTGAAATCCCCCCAAATTTTATGTTTTTGATTAAAAGTGGTGGGCAGCTGTGTTAGTCAGGTAAAATCAAATATATGTGACCCCTTTTCATTGCATCTGACGAAGTAGTTGTAGCTAATGTGCGTCACACGTTGTGTGTGTGACATACATGATACACACAGCACCAATACACAAATGTTGTTTCTCACAAGTGCAAGTCGGCCGAATGCGATGCACTGGTGGAACATGTTTGGCAGGATCACGACTAGCACCCAACAGCTGGATTTTTTAGATTGACCCCCCAAAATTTGCCCTTGCAAGAATAACGAATCGACTTTGTGTGAACGTTTATATCCTACTTTAAAATGCTCTTTCCAACTAACATCATTTAGTTAAAATTTTGTAGCCAAATTGGACGCGTTCCAGGACATAATGTCCCTTAATTCTGACTAAGGCCAAAAAAAAAAGTCTCCGGTTTCTGGTCTGCGCGCTCGTCGCCGTAGCCATGCACGTCGGCAAAATGAAAAAGGTTTTTTTTCAATGAAAGATGACGTCTCAAAACCGCCAAACTCACTGGTTTGACTGGAATTCTGCTGCTGCACAATTTTAACGTGTTCTTAGATTGGGTTATGGTCGAGAATAAGCTTTATGTGGCCTCTCTGGACTCCCATATATTTGCACTAAGTTTAGTCGGGCACCATTTGCAGTCATCAGCCGACATTTGAAGCAAAAAAAATCAGGTTAAAAAAAAAAAAAAAGCCGCGTTGCTGCACCACTTTTTGGGCAAGCTCCATACCAGAAACCGGAGACTTTTTTGGGGGGCCTAATTCAGAAAAAACTAATTCTGCACTCAAAGTGTTAAACCCACTAGGAATACCTAGAAAACATGGCTTGCAGTGGATGACAGTATGTTGTCAAACGTACCTGTTTCATGTTCAACAGTTGAAAGAAATGTCACGTCCCATTTTAATCACCAGAGTGCCTGTTTATGCACACAGCTCATATTTGGGTCATTTCTATTTTTTGGTTTAGACAAATCAAGGGCATACAATTTGACGACAAACAACATTTAGTAAAACTTTGGATTTGCGATTTTGGATGATGATGATGATGATGTTTTATCGTTTCATTGGCAGGCATGTTTGAGATGGGCATCTATCGGATCTCGGGCTCGTCAGCTGATATACAGAAACTCAAGAAACTGTTCGAAATAAGTAAGTTGGTTTATGGGCAGTTCCAGCGTTATGGAAGAAAATGTAATGTCTGTGGCAGAGCCAATTAACCATGATATCTAATTAAAGATATAGTCCATCATTTGTAATTTGTGCATTTTGTTCGTTTGAAGCAACAAAAGTGTTTATCTAATGAAGGACACTGAACAACTAACCTGATGAAGTTTCAGCTCAGCTTCAGCTGTATATTCTGAGAAAAACAGCATTCTAGGATCTCAATTTCAAATCAGTTGCTGAATCATGTTTTGAATTGTTTTGAATTGCAGCTATACGCGATGTCGCGCACTGATCCGACGAATTATAGCAACCGCGCGCGCCTGTGTGTCGTTCCAATGCTTGCGCGTGCTGCGCCGAATAACAAAACGAAGTACTAATTTAAATTTTCCTACGGTACGTCTTAAGACGCACCATTGGAAAGGCCTTCTTTCATTGATTACTTCAAAATGACAGCTTGCCAGAAAGAATAATTTCACAGGGAGTTTAGTCCCCTTACTATCTTTCAACCAAGTATGTTTTTCAACAATAATTATGCCAGTTACTTTTTCGGATGGCTACAAATGATGGACTATAGCTTTAATGATTTTAAATGATATCTCCTAGTCTGTAACCTTCTTGACCATTACTAGATGGTGGACGTATATAAGGTTTGAAAATACATTTTCAGGTTTATTCACAGAGCTCTTAAAATACCAAAAAAAGTGGCTGATTTGTAAAGGAATGATCTGATGAGGCTGGAATTAGGCCATCAGCCTGGGGTTTGGTCAGTATCAAATCAGGGCATAAATGATTATAGTGCGCATGCGCAAGGTATACCGCCCCTAGAGTGGTAACAAGCATTTTGATGGCCATTTTTAAAAAAAGGGCGATAACACCCAAAATGCTGCCACCGCTGCAATGCTATCACATATTTTCCAACTCTGGAGGTGTATACCTTGCCAGAAATCGCTATGACGATTATTCCCCTCATTTGATACCGGTGGCCACAATTTTGGACCGAGGCTAATGGCCTAAATTGCCCTCATGATCTTCAGAAAAATGAAACATCCTTTGTGTTTGACCTTTTCAAATGACACAACGAGCTTAAAGGCCTTTTTTTTCTTGGTCATTAAAATAATTAATATGGAGTTGATTGCCGTGTAAGGGTTCTGAGGGAATTCTATATCTTTGGAGACACTGTGGCAAACCTTCTGGAACACTTTGATTGCACTGGGTCTTATTTTAGTTGTTTGCGGTCCTTCATCATTAAAGTGTTCATGTTTTGTAAAATGTCATGGGAAGCTAAATGGAGTGACGACAGTATATTTATGTATTCAGTATTGCTCAAAAAAATTGTAAAACATAAAAAATACTCTGACAACAAACTTGTTAAAAAAATGTGAACTAAATTCCTGTCTCAGAAAATTTTGAAAGTGTACTCTACATGCAACGCGCAAGTAGAACATACGCAAACAACTTAAGCGCGTCATTGACGTTTCAAAAAAAGTGACGGCAAAAAGCATCAGCAGCAGATACGCGCACGCGTTGCGCTGTTTGCGTAGAGCAAAATGACACGCTCAAAATGATATTGCGTTTCTGTTTTGGGCGTATTGGCTTGGATAACGCATTGGTATGGAATACAAACGCAAATATGCAAATAACCGTACAAAAGCCATACAAAATGTATAGGTCTCCATAGGTTTGTGAACAATGATGGATGCGCCCAGCAGGCATTACTTTGTACACGAAGTTAGCGCTCTAGTAATTTAATATAGCTCTATGGATCACACACATGTCTGCATCCAGGACGGTCAGACGAGGAGCTAGCACTCTAGTAATTCAATATTCCCCCATGTGCCCAACCCACCTTCCCTGACACTTCTCGTCTACCTTTCTACCCACAGACAGCAGGCACATTTCCGTCAGGCTGAAGCAGGCAGAGATCCACGCCGTGGCTGGTCTCATCAAGCACTACTTCAGGGAACTCCCTGAGCCACTCTTCACTCAGTCACTCTACTCCAAGTTCCAGGATGGCATTGGTAGGCATCAGGCACAGCTTTACAGAAATGCCAGTTTGGTTTACCCATTATTCCATGTTACTCCCAGAGCTGCCCATGCAATGTAATTTTGTAGTGCTATCCATGAAAATGCACCTTTGTGTCCCATTTAAAGAGGTTGTGGAATGCTGAAAGTCGTTTTGTTTTTTATATTTTTTTATCGTAGAGTAGACCCATATATATCAAAATGACAAAGTCCCATTCTTTTGTAATGTACGTTTATATGTTTATAAAACTGAAATTCATCGAGTAATTTGTTGGTCGGCGAGCGCATAATTGAAATCAACAGTCGTCGGGTTCTTCGTAAAATGAGAAAAATAGTGACGAAATAAACAGGACTCGTTTATACTACGCTGCATCGGGAGTCCTGTTTATTACGTCACGATTTACTATGTTTTGTTTGCTGCCCCCAACGACGACTTTTACACAAATTGCACGTTCGGGTCGAAACAGGACCTGAAAAACAGCTCTCAAAAGTACCTTTTGTACTCATTTCATGACAGACACAATAGTTGTTTTTATTTCATCACACCTTAGGCTACATATACCCGAAAAATGATGGAAATGTCTTCGAGCATTCCACTACCTCTTTAACCTTGCTTTCAATTTTTGTTTTGCCACTTCGAAGGGCATTTTCGTGAGCAAAACTGTGATGGCATTCCGGGTAAAACCTCAATGTTACAGCTATTTCAGCACAAAAAGTTACTTGAATTTTGGATATTTTGCTGTCATTAATATTTCCCTCAACTGTCCTGATGATTTCTCTCGTACCCGCTATTCTCTTTGTTTTATCTTTCTGATTTGCATCCTTTTTGTTGTGGTTATACTCTCTATATCCCTGTGTTTACTTATTACAGTAGTATAATAGTAGATAATTGTAAAGCCCGGTTCATACTTCACGCGAAAGCAAAGCGGAATTCGTGACATCAACAATACGTTCGGAGCGCGTCCACCATTGTTGGCGACATGAATTTCGCTTCGCACTTGCTTTCGCGTGAAGTATGAACCGGGCTTTATACAGTAAAACTCTGCTATAACGAACACCGCTATAATGAACATCTGGCTATAACGAACATCCCCTTGGGCTCCCAAAATAGTAAATTCTATTTTAATCAATATGGCAAACGACCACTATCACAAACAATTTGTACGGACCCCACCGTGTTCGTTATAGTTGCGTTCTTCTGTAGTATTATTTGTGTGTGAATTGGCTTTAACCAATTAATTTTTTTTTCTCCCTAACTGAAAATACTTTTAAAAGATCGAATTTTGCGTCGGGGTGATATAAATCAAATTAGGTTTTGCCCTTCACCGACGTTTTTAAACACTGTATACTCAGTGTGTTACCTCCCGAGTGAAAGTTGGAAAAAATCACTCGAGTGGGACTCGAACCCACGACCTCCTGCTTTCTAGTGCAGATATCTTACCACTCGACCACCGAGCTAACGGGATCGGTTGGCCGGTTCGAATCTGATGTACATAGCAGCGGGTACCGCATAAACTATTATAAGATGGAATTTTGCGTCAGGGTGATATAAATCAAATTAGGTTTTGCCCTTCACCGACGTTTTTAAACACTGTATACTCAGTGTGTTACCTCCCGAGTGAAAGTTGGAAAAAATCACTCGGGTGAAAATACTTTGGAGGTGTGAACTTATTCTTCGATGTTACATGCCTTGCAGGTTTGAAAGACCCTGATGCTAAGCGAGAACTGATGATCACTGTTCTGAAGTCCATCCCTGAGCCAAACAAGAGCATCGTCTTCTACGTCTTCAACCATCTCAAGAGGTATGTCAGGAGAAGCATTTCATGTTACTTTGATCAGAGGATCAGAACATTTTGCGTGACATTGTAACCCCTGATAGGTGGGCTTATTATTATTTTTAAGCCTTCTCAATTTCCTCAACACAGCTACACAATCATTTTAGGCAGGTTTTAACAAAAATGCAATAATTAACCGTGTGTAAATTCGACGTTTCCAATTGGCCTTGATATCCTATGGTTATAAAAAGCAATTGTGATAAAGTCTCTTGCTCAAGGATTTCTCCGGCCTTTTTTGGTTGTTGACAAAATCAATTGATGACTTTAAGGCACAGTCAGTCATTTGCAGCTATCTTAAAAGTAACTGACAAAATTATTGTTGAAAAGCATCATTGGTTTAAAGATAGTAATGGGACTAAACTCCCTGTGAAATTATTCTTTCCTGCAAGCTGCTACTTTGAAGAAATCAGTGAAAGAAGGCCTTTCCAACGATGCATCTAAAGACGCATCGTTGGATCTTTCCGTTTTTAGTTTGTTTATTAATATTTATCGAAGTGCGCACAAGCATTGACACAACGCACACGCGTGTGCGGTTGCGTGTGTGATATCGTGTAGCTGCAATCAGCTCAGTGAGAACTTGTCTCGGATGCTGAATTCAGGCCCAATTCAAATTATAACTCAGCAAATTTTGATTTGAAATCGAAATCCTAGAATATTGTTTTCTCGAAATAAACAACATTCACTGAGCTGAAACTTCATCAGGTTAGTTGTTCAGCACCCTTCATTAGATTTTGAGCACTTTCATTGCTTCAAACGAACAAAATGCACAAATTACAAATGATGGACGCTGCCTTTAAAAGTGATTTTCATTGCTTTAAAAATCTATTTCAGAATTGCCAGCAACGAGTCCACGAACAAGATGCATCTGCACAACCTGGCCACTGTCTTTGGCCCCACTCTGATTGGCCCCGCCCCCAAATTGGTTGGGCCTGGGGGCATGTCGCCCACAGCTGGCCTGCTCGGAATGTCCGACGCTATGACCCAAGTGGGTATATTGTACTACTTTCTGGAGCACTACAGCAGTTGCGACAGCGTCTGAGCTGAGCACACGCAGTCACGCAGCATGCGAAAGAAAGTACATGTAGCTTGTAAATACCTCAACATGGCAACTCTGTGTACATATTGGCTGGTCCCAGGGGGCCGGAATAGTATCTTTTTTGTACCTATCTGAATGACTGACTGACTGATTAACTGAGTGATTGTGCCTTGTAGCTAACACTTCTTGTAGACTTGGTTTTTCTTGGTTGGTTCTTCTAAATACTCCGCGTGGGAGTTAATACAGGAGACCAGGGAGTTAATACAGGAGACCAGAAACACACCAGGGCAAACCCCTTCTCTTAGCGATAAGTGTCACTGGGTTCTTTTACATGCATTGGATTACACAACACACGGGACCTACGGCTTTACGTCCCATCCGAAGGACGAAGCAATAATGGTTAAGTGCCTTGCTTAAGGGCACAAGTGTCCACCCGGCGAGCTCGAACCCACGCCACTGTTGCCTCTGAAACACCAGAGCATGAGTCCGGTGTTCTTAACCGCTAGGCCATGACACTCCTAGACTGTTGAAGAGAGCCAGGCAGTGCACACCTATTACCCTAATGCCACTGAATCGGCTGAATTGTTTTTTGTAGGCCAGATGCACAAATAGACTTCCAGTAAATAGTAATTCTGGAATCAATTGAATAGAATTTTGTGCACTCTGACTTACAAAAAAGTGTATGTCAGTCGTTGATTGCAAAATGTGAAAATATTTGAAGTCAATTTGTTAAAATTTTAATTAAATTAAAAATTTTTTTTTTCAATGGGCAGGTGCTTTAACTTTGTAACAAATCAGAAATGCAACAGAAATACTATTTCCAAAACCATTATATCTGAAAAGTAGTCCTTTCTAGTTTAATACATTTTCTGTTTTATGGTTATTCTGTTATAGCCTTTCTGTTTTAATGTAAATATTCAGAACCATGAACAAAAATGTTGCTCAAGTGTAAAAAAAAAAGGGGAATGTTTTTGGCTCATTCTAGCCGTAAAGACTTTCTTCAATTATTCTGTACAGTTGTCAAAATCTGCATACGCATTACACAGACGAATCTTATTTAAATCATTCTATACTCAGTAAAAATAGCATGGGTCATTGGTGTATATTAAAAAAAAAAATTAAATATTCATTGAAACAAACAATTGAATACTCATAGTCACAAAAAATGGTGTTCAGTCATAAAAATGTTCGTAGACATTGAAATGGTTGTGAAATTATTGTTGGTAAGGGACGGTAAATTTATTGTCAATTTTTTTGTGTTATTTTACTTTTAGGAGAGCATTATTTTAATAGTTTGCAACACTTTATTGATTTGATCAGTACAGATTAACCAGTTCACGTCGGATGACGTGTATACACACAAAGGTTTTGCGGTGTTCGGAACAGATGACGGATAAACACGCACAAGCGAAGCTGGAAATATCTGTCTGCGACCCGCTCGCAGCGAGCGAGGCCGGAAATATCAGGGTGTGCTACCTGTAGATGACAGCCTGAACCCGCCTGGCAATGAGGTTCATGAAAAACAATCCGGCACCTGGGTCCGGTCAATGTCAAAATAATCCCAGCGCGCACTGGTTAAAAAAAAAAGAACATCTGATTAAAGCAGAAAAACGACATATTCAACATTTAAATTTGATCTGAGCTTTTCATGTGTATATATATACACCATATTGATTCAATACACAGAAGCAAATGAACGCTGGACAAAATTTGACGATACCAAACATCACTTACAGCTCTGACATTTGTTCTTAAAGGGAAGATACAACATTTGCAAACATCAAAAAAGGAAACGATCAAATTATCACGAAATATCTTACTGGATTGTTAGGGAATGACAGTCAAAAGCATCCTGTTAAATCGTGGCTCCTGGTGTTCTGACATTTTCAAGAAAACTTGTATTTTTCCAACGCTGGTCAGCCGACCAGCATTGGATTCTCTGACCTTGCAATCCTCCAAAGTCTATAAATTGCTCCGTTTCATCTTACGTGGGGTCAGGGAACCAGACAACAAAAACATGGTTGGTTTTCTTGGATTTTCCAGCATCTCCGAACCCAAAACGTGAAGCAAGTCAGTTTAACAATATTTGCTATAACATACTAATCCTCCAAATCCATTTAATTCTGAAAATTGCAGCAAAAGCAAATGTTGTACATTCCCTTTAAAGCATTCTGTGTTAATTGAATAGTTTTTTTGTGAATTTGTTTTTGTCCACATTAACTACACAACATTGCAAAAATGAAAGAATGACAAGTCTGGTTTTACTTTGCCTATTTAGAATTTCTAATAACAGAAATTTCCAGAAGTAGGCATGACAGAAACCAGTTAACGATGTTTACTCGTTAACTTGGCCCATCTTACACTGAGGAAAAATCCCTGATTAAGAGAATGTACTAATGACTTTAATGATCACCTATATATACACACAGTACATATGAGCATAACTTGTATAGCAATATTAGCAACTATACAAAACGTTAATTGTATGCAGCAAATGATATAAGACTATATTTTTGTTTACAGATTTGTATCATTATTGAAACAAACAAGATTTAGATGAATAAATTAATACCTTTGATACGCAGATTAATTTTAAGAATCAATGCATAAGTTATAAAAGATTTGTACCGATTGATTTTTTTTTAGCAGATAACGAAATATTGTATCCAGTACTAAATGATATAGCACACTGTTTGGTTATGCGGGATCTATATATTAATTTATTAAAAATCAATCGATTTTTAGAAATACAAAAAAGGGACGTTATTGTTGTATATATTATGTCATGTGAGTTGGTACAGTACGCATATCTAAAGTACTCATCTGTATTACAGAAATCTATTTTTGATGTCAACCTATGACTGTGCAGTACTTTTCTTTGCTGATAAGATTGTATACGTAATTTAACACATTTGAAATCATTCCAGATATAAAATATTTTACCTGTTTTGAGTTTTCGAATAGCCCGTTGTAATAGAGGGTAACCGAATTGGCACAGACCATTGTGAAAATTAGGTGTTAACCCATTTCAAAAAAACGTACAGTACAGAGGGGCTTCATAGAAAATGGCGAAAATGGCGCCAGTGTATAAACTGAAATTGTATTTTTGTTTAGTTCTGTAGACAGTAGTTCCATGGGAATATTAAATAGGTGCAAGTGGCTTCGTAATACATTTGAAAGCTTCTAAACATTTCACATCATTTGTAAATAGAGATAAACCATATCCAGAGATTATGTAAAACCACTGTAGAATTTATGTAACATTATTCAGGAGTTCTAAAATCTGAAGATTGTATTGGGAATTTACCCAGCTAATTCCATTTTGTTTTATTCTTCCAAAATTGATATCAAAACGGAGATGGAGCAACTTACTTCTAAGTTATGGCAGATGATATTTCTGTATAAATATTTGAAGAAAAAAAAAATAACCGTTATAGTGTTCAGCAGTTATCTGTATATTCATGTAGTTAAATAATGATATCAGCATTCTTGTAACTTGTATAATTGCAGCATCGTATATTTTATTTTGAAGGAATACTTGTTTTTGGCTCACTCGCTAGTTTGTTTATGTACTAGTAAACGTCAAAGAGGGATTTATTTGTAAATAATAACCTGCATATAAATGGAGAACATTATACACGTATATCTATTTAATAGCTTTCTCAGTAACCTTATAAGAAAGGCAGTATAATCACAACATCTGTGAATTGACTTTTTACTAAACTTCCTCAGCATTGATCAGCATTTTAACCCTAACCTTCCAAAATCCTCCAAAATCCTCTTTGCAAAATGGAGGATTTTGCAGGATTGAGGCTACATGGCAAAAAGGTGTGGCTGATTTCGGAGGATGCACCGTGTCAAGATCTTGGGCCGGACCTTGTGTTGTTTATGCTCAGCCATGCACGCATTTAGGCCTAGATTATACTTTGAATCCTCCGCACTGCTCCAGGATGTCACTGGCTCTGCCTCAACATATTGACAGTGATTGCTGCAGGATTGTGCAGGATTGAGGCAGTGATCACCCCTCCAAGGACCACATTCAATAAATAACGGAGGGTTTTGCTGGATTGAGACTGTATGCAATTTTTACGTGGAGGCAGTTGGAGGAATTTGCAGGATATAGGTTGCATCCTAGCAAAAATGCCTAGGGAGTTAGGGTTAATCCAGTCATCACAAGTCAATCAATAGCACAATCGCAAGTAAAGTCATCCAGTCGAAATCCAAGTAAGGATCATTTCAAAGGAGCTGTAACAAGGGCATTTCTTTTCCCAATGTTCACATGTTCACTCCTTGTCATGTAGCTCGTGATTGACTTGTTATTGATATTCGATTACAACCATGCTTTTCATTAATTTGAGAACCATTAACTGTTCATTACTGTATCTTTATACTTATTGCTACTCAGAATACACATTGTCTTGTAATACTTGCCGTCTGGGTCCAGAAAATACGTATATGCGAAACATCACGACGATCCTGCATCATATTGAGATGCGAGGTGGACTGGGCCTATATTAAAGACAAGTACTTCGAACAATGTGTGACTGCACTTTCTTTCGTGTGTCATTATTTAAAGACAAATAAGAACATTTGCAATGATGCATGTACCTATCGATGTAATGAATAAAATCCTTGCTCAAAGTGAAGGGGGGCATATGTATGTTCCCCAGTAGGCCATACCGATGTTCCCCGAAATCCTTACCATATAACCCTATCCCTAACCCTAACTCTAAGGATTTTGGGGAACATCGGTATTGGGGAACATAGGTATTGGGGAACATTGCGAGACCCCAAAGTGAAGAGAGGACTGGTACCAAATACAGGGGAAATCATTCCGCCTGAAATGGTATCATTCGGGAAAATCAGTGAAGGTGGTTTACATGTAAATTGCGTTAGCAACATAATCCAGTTTACTAGACTCCAAAAATTGTACATACGTTTTTCCTGTTATCTCAAAATGTCTAGTATATTTAAACGTACACAGGATCATTTGCTGTCTGTTCATTTTTTTTTATCAT